CCCCAAAACCCCAAAACCCCTTCATATCATAGAATCATTATTAGTTTTAATAAACAATGATAAAGTTTTCTCATAAAATAAAAGAGGTTTATCAATAAAATAGACTATCATTAATATAAACTTAATACTTTCTTATGAATTATACTTTAAAGTACCATTTTTTCGATAGTAATTAACATTTAAATTTTCAATCTTAACGACCTTCGTAGAAATTATAAAGGATACAAGTGCAATAGATTAATATCAAGAAGACCCCAAATAATGAAAATAGATAAGCTATTCTACCTCCATTACATAGTTTCGTTTACGAACCATAAATAAGCTAATTTTTTTTCTCAATGTAATACAAATACCCTGGAATAACATATATAATCATAGGTGTGAGAGTAGATCCCAATATATTTATCAAAATTTAAACTTCAACCTAAGTTACTATGACAATCAAATTTATTAAAAACAAGATAACTGTAAGCTTCTATCTCTTCTCACTTGTTATGCCAATATATGTCATCCAATAACGCTTAGTTCCGACGCTAACAAGAGACAGTAAATTTTTTCTTTAAAACTCACGTGCTCTATTTTCATCAAATTATGGAGATTATTGGCCTCTATTCAAAAGTAGATCTTTGATATAGCTGGAATCAGAATCTCTATTCAACTTTTTAACGTGTTAAGTCAAAGATTCTGTTTAAATTTCATCTACAAGCACACAAAATTAATCATGAGCAATCATTAGAGATGTCATTCCATGAATGAAAAATATTATTAAGTTCACTAATAGAATTGAGATTGATAGCTCAAATTTGAAGTTTTTGAATATCATCAGGTTCATTGTGTAATCGAAACAGTCTTAAACTGGGATTAGATACTAAATCACAACGAAAATACTGAACACATAAAGGTAAAATATCAAAGATGCAAGCAAAGCAATTATTGTTGATTAAAGGCCTCTTATCTGTTTTTTGCTTTTTGTTTAAAAATGACATTAGTTAGGAATGAGATAAAACTCAAAATGAAATAATGCTGAAGCAATTGGCATTAGTAGCAAGTACTGATCTAAATAATGTTATATTCATTGAAATTACTTTCATTGGTGAATCTGAAGTTTCAGTCATTTTCAAACAATTTCTAATGATCATCAAACTTATTTGTAACCATAAGTAATATCATTTGGCATATCACTAGTAACGAGAATAGCACTAATAATGCTAATGACAATTTAGCCATCTTTATAAATCTAAAGAAATTCATCTTAGTTAGACAAATGAGTGCCAAAAGATAGAGAAAGATTGTAATAAATATAAATATATAAGGATAATATGCCCCTATATCTTCCGTAATTGATCTTTGCACTATCATAAATAATATTTTCGCACCACTACCTTTAAAGTTATAAGGAAAACATGAATACCAAAAAATCCTGCTGGAAATAATCCATAGACACTGAATTAAATGAATGAAATGAAAATGACTAAATCTCTTCGCCCAGTTATGCAATATACAATCTCTTAAATTGAGCTAATAGGTTAAGGGATGAAATAAGTTACTTGAATTGAGGATATTTTGCTCTCAGAGAAAGAATAAAGAATGATGAAACTAAACCACTTAAAAAATTGAAAAACATTATTCCAACAAAGAAAATGTTAATGTCTTTAATATTTTGAGGTAGCTAGAGAAAACTAACTCCGATTATTCTAGTAACGAGGATGCAAGTTGCTTCAAATACAGTTAAAGTTTGGATTTTTGGCTCAGATTCATTTTCCTTCTTATCTTCTTTTTCATTTTCTTTGCTTCTAAGATTTGATTAAATATAAGTTATTTTTCATTTGCCTTGAGTTAAATCTGTGCTTAGCAATACAGAAATCTCATTGTTCGGGTTTGACAATATTTTCCCCTCAAAATCACTAATGCTTCTTATATATGATTCACTTGGTAAGATTTCTTAATTAATGCTTGTAGATTTGTAGTAACTTTTTCCTTATCTTTCACTTGCAAGTAATTTACCTATTGATTATTATGAATCAGATGAAGATTTCTTTAAAGGTGAGTCAAGTTCTTCTATCTTATCAGAAGATTTTTTGAAATTTATTGAGTAATGATTCATGATTTTCTTCAAATTGTTTGAAATTATAGCAATAAATGATTTATATGTATTGTTTTTTTCGTTTATAATTAATTAATGATATATTCTAAATGATTTTTACTGATATTGTATTTGTCAACAGATTCTTCACGACGGGGTTTTGGGGTTTTGGGG